AGCAACCCTGCATTACTAAGTGAGTACCTCTTTCCCACAGCACACCCCCAGCCTCGCGCTCCTTCTGTTTGTCTCTTTGTTTTCTTTTATTTGGTTTTTTTTTTTTGTTTTGTTTTGTTTCTGAAGAGGGCTTTCAAGTATTTGGCCAGGTGAGAGTCCTTTTTCCTCACTCTCCCGTCCACTGTCTAGATGGGTATATACCTCATGTGTGGTCTGTATCTGTTCTGAAGCCGGTTCCTCTTGCGTGAGTCGGTTCAGAATTCCAGTTCAGCTCTGTCTTCTCCATGGCTTGCATCCACCATTTATTCCAGATGAGATCAGAAATCAAATTCAGGTTCTGCTACTCTCTCAGCCTGCAATCGGCATCTGTTCAAGCTCTGATTAAAAATCCAGGTGAGATTTCATTCCTCTCCCAAGATAAACCCACAGTCAGTTCCTGGGGATCTGGAAATCCAATGGAAGTTCTTCCTATCAGACCAGTTGGAACAGTGTCCAGAGTGGGAGACAGGCTGCATCACTCGGTTATAATAGCCCGTAGAGTTTTCTTGCAGGGATATAACTGTCTCCAGTGACTCTAATATGCCCACAAATAGTAAGTTTTTGTTCAGAGGGGAAAAAACGTCCCATAAAACCGTGTCTTGAACACAACATTTCTTTGCAAGGGAATATGAAGAGATTTATTATATATAAAATAAATCAACTGCGATTATTACCTACATATTTACTGAGGTTTAACAACTGGATAATAGATGCACATTTTATTCCAGTGTTGTTAAAACCTCAGTAAATGTGATCTTAATAATCAATCACTATTTAACACACATTCAATAACCATCTAGAGAGCTTTCATGCCAAATGTGACCAAAATCCCGAGCAATAAAACACTGTAATTTTGTTCCATTTCTCCCCTCCTGGTTTTAAAATTGACCCACTATACTTTGTCAGGTATGCTCAGAACATCTGGCCCCGACACCTTCCTTATGGCTGCAGATCCAGCGCGGCGTATTTGCGCTGCAGTGCTCACGGGCTTCCCTCTCGGCAAGTTATTGATGGCCAGGAGGAGCAAAAGGATCTCCCTCCTGTAGAGGGGCTTCAGAGCCAGAGTCCATGGTAGTATCTATTCACTGAAATGTGGCTCTTGGCTGGCTTCCGCTAATTGCCTTTCCCTAATCCCATCAAGAGCCGAGTCCCAAAGTTCGTTCTTTTGGTTACTTTCCTTTTCTTTCTTCCTTTCGTTTTCTTTTCAGTTCTCCTTTGTTTCTTTTCTTCGTTTGATTGTTTTTTGGTTTGGTTTTTTTTTGTTTTTTTTGTTTTTTTTTTTTTACTGTTTGTCCTTTCAACCAGTCCATTCTTCTCCTGTGTTAACTTTCAGGTTCCCCTTATTATTATAGTGCCACATCCCGGGGCTCCGCACCTCCCACTGCTGCCGCTGCCTATGACCGCCACTAGTTACCATGGAAACCACATGAAACTGCAGGGCGACAGCTTAGGCCTCCACATTGTACCTGTCTGATCACCTCCCTCCATCCCTGGGAAGGGTGAAGAGACCTTCTCCGTTCCTCCCCACAGCCCAGTTCCTCCCTCTTCGCCATGAAGGCGCCGGACCAAGCGCTCACCACACGAGATTGCCTTGGGGAGCCCTCCACCGCACCTGGGCAAGGCTCAAAGCTCAGCCACGCGAAGTCCCCTTGGCTTCCAGGACTTGAGGGGGACTGGGAAGCAATGCAGCTGGCAACCATTGCCTTACAAGACCCCCTTCTTCTGGGAGCGGAAAGGGCCGGGGGAAGCAGGGGAGAACGCCGCTCATGAAACACTGTTCCCCAAAGATACGCTCTTCTGTGGTGGACTCTTCAACACGCGTAACCTGCGATGCTCACCCTGTTCCCCAGGACAGAGGGAACAGTCTGGCCAGAGCAGAGAGGGCAGTACAGAGACCTGGCCTATCTGGCAACGAAGAAAAGGACCAAGTAACTATCTGCACCCCACGAGGGGTTCTCTGTGCACCTCATCCCCACTCTCCAGCGTGGCTTTCCCCAGAGTTGGCTGCACCCCACGCGTGGTGACTTTGCAGGCCAGAGTTGGGAGGAACCTCACACATACACCCACAATTTCTGTGACACACAATCAGCTCAGACAGGAGGATGGAGCAACATTTACAAACCAACCGACGAAATGAAGAAATATATAAATAGATATATAAATATAACTGTGTTTTTATGCTTTGTCATGAAGGTCTGTAAAAAGGAAAAAAAAAAAAAGAACAAATCCCCAATTTTCTAAAAAACCCAAGCAAACAAAACCAACAAAAAAACCAAAATAATAATTAAAAAACCCTACAAAAATAAAACTCCAAGTCCCATCCCTCCCCGCCACCTGAATGGCAGACGAGTTCCTCTGATGTTTGATGCTCCTCTTTCACTCTAGGGTTTTGTTTCCTTTCTGTTTTGCACTACAATGGGATGGTGGTATTGGAGAGGATTGGATGCCAGCTCCACCCCTGTCGCCTCCTCCTCCTCCTCCTCCCCCTTTCCCAAATCCTGTCTCTGGGGAGCAGTGTGGACAAGTCACATCTGACAAAGTTACCAAACACATCAGTCGACAAAAAAGCACTCTCTGAGTCAACAAACGTTTTCCATGTCACTGGTTGGCAAACAAAGAAAACAAGCCCAGCTGCGCTCTAACTGCGCTGTGTGGTGGAAAGTGTGGGGCTTCATGTGGGCCCATCTGATTGCCCTCTGGACAGCTGAGACTGAGATGGACAAATTCAGGATTGGCTGGGATTATTGCTTGGTTCCCTAGCCCTTAGCCGCCGCTCCTTTTACCTTAACCCCTGTATCTGTGACGACTTCAGTTCACCCACATCCCAACTTTCACAATTTTAGATATGCCCAACACCCGTTCTCCAGATCCCCGCAGCCGGTGACAACAGCCTCATTATCTGTGCCCAACACCTAATTTCCTAACCACTATAGCCTTGCTATATGGGCCCCCTTCGATTCCCAGTCCATCTGCTCATACACCTACTAATTTATAGGCCTCCATTCAAATCCATATGCCTGCATCCTACCAGCCAGTCCCAACATACAGCCCCATCTTTTCATCTTCGATCCTATATTGTGCACCCTAATATTTACCCCATATCCCAAATGCGCACCTGATGATTCTCTAGGGATTCTCTGCTCTTTTTGGTTCCCAAGTGACTGGCAAACACTGTTCTGCAAAAGGCTAACTGTCAATAGAAATGCTTATTACTCCTGTATCGTCAGCAAACTCATAAACTGTTCCTTGCACTGACACTTCCTAAAAAATACTCAAAGAAAACATGAAGGCAGCTATAGCCTGTCCCCAGGGCATCAAGTCTGCCAAAGTAGATCCTTGTTGTTTTAGAGAGATTTCAGATAAGACTCGTGGGCTACTGTCCATGGACAAAGACAGGATTGAGAATCAAACCCCCGAAGGGCATAAAAGTGAACAGCGGAGCAATCTGTACAGCCAACATTATGTATAAAATCCAAAGTTCCCAGCCTCAGAGGAGGTGTGGTTGTGGACTCGGTATTGTCTCCAAGTTTAACTTGTATGTATGAAATCCATCATCAGTAAACAGCTGTGTTGATCCCAAAGGCCCCTTTCACCTAACACTTTTAGCCCTTGCATGGCTCTAGCTGATTATAGGTCTGTGTCTTCTTTAATGGGATGCCCAAATGATAAGGGTATTGGGGGGGGGATGTTTACATAGAAGATATAGAGCTAAAATCCGTTCCTGTACAGAATAAAATCAAAGAGGTTACTCCTGATCTATTAAAAGTGTTATTCCGCACGTATTACCTCCGAGTAACCTGCTGCAAATAGCAGAGTTGTTACACTGTCACCGAGACCAGAATTTGGCCCGTTATCTCATCGTATTCTACATAAGAAGAAAATTCTGAATAATTTCTAAAAATTTACTTTTGCCACTCCTTCTGTTTTCCTCCACAGACACCAGACAGACGCTGGACCCTGTTAGTAAAGTCTCCCTTTTAGTCTCTCGGTGTAGCCTTTGCTCTGCTTGTGCACCACCCAGTTTCACTCAGCAGGTGGTCAGGGCAGAGGCAGTGAATCCCAGGACCAGCAAGGAGAACCTCCAGAGGAGGCTAGAGAAAAGGAGACTGTCACGCCTCACACTTGGCAACCTGCAGCCCAGGGGCCACCTCGAGAGAAGCTAGCAGCTCAGAAATGTGTGGTTTTGTAATGGTGTTTCGCTCAACTTGAGACACGAGCTAGGGTATGAAAGCAGGATTTGGTTGGCTCACTCATGGCTGGCTTGATTTGACCCTCGGAGGGCCAAATCCATTGTTGGTGTAACTCCACTGATAAAAGAGGATTTCCACCAGGCATTGGATTGGTCTGGAAATCTCATAAGTACGGCATGTAGTTTTGACCAGGAAAATTAAAAGGAAAGCAGAATTATGCAAAGGACTGGGCAGTCTAATCCTCTTCCACCACCATCTGTAGACCCCCATGCGAATGTACTGAATTACATTTGCCAAAGAGTTTCTTGTGTTGGTTGTTTTGATTTACAGTCAGTGGATGCATTGTAAAGCAGTATTATAGCTAAAGTCTAGTAGCCGACATGGGGATTTATGTGGTGATATTACGCAGAAGAAAACCATCAATATTCATATAGATTCCATTAGACTGGACTATGCAGGAAACGCAAAAATTCTACCAATTATTTAATATTATGTTATTTGCAAAAACAATTGCTGCTTTGTAGGAAGATAATGTGTGTAATGTGAAGGCAATTCCTCTTGTATATAAGTTCATCTCCATCTTCATCATGGTAGTTATTAAAACAGCCTCGTCTCATCCTGTAGATAAGGAACACGCTGTCTGTACTGTGCAAGTCTCGTTGTGCTCACTGAAAACAAAACGATGTGTTCAATAAAGCACAGCACAAATCCAGAACCTGAGGGAACAGCC